CTACGTACCTGTGACCAAATAAACGTCTGGCTGTGTTTCATTTTGGTTCCCATTCCTGTCTCAGAGGCAGAAACTTTTTGTGAGTGTGTGGGAGAAAAGGCTTTTTCCAACCTGGCTCAAATTCTGTGTCTTTTCTTGCCTTGGCTTTTCTATCTCTGCCAGTCTCCACTGCGGGTCCAGCCTGATCCTGCAAATTCCATTTTCTCCTTTATGTGCAAATTCTGCTGATCACTTCCACCTCCTTAACACCCCTCCTGGGCATCCCTGCCTTCCTTCCATCTGTGCTGACACCACTATTTTTGACTGCATGTACTTGAAGTGTGACCGTGCCTTTTCTCTCGGCTTTGCAGTCTGGACTCCTTAGCACAGGCAGAGCGCTATGGTGCTGTTGCCCAATCTCTGAAACAGTGTCCTTCTAAAATAATTGTGAATTCAATAACATCTGAGGATAATAACATGAAAAATAATCCCGAATACTCAACAAAGTGTATATTAGGGGGGCAAAAAGTTTTACACATACATTTTTAATATTTTTAAAACATTTTTCAAATTTATGTGGAAAACAACACACATGCAGACTAAACTCAGTCATTGAGTTTTAGTCTAATTTCACATATTAAGTGGTACTTTCAATACTTTAAATTTTTCATGCAGTCATTGGACTAATGGCTGAGTTTATTATGTCACTGAAGCGTTTGTACTGCGGGAAAACTAGTTCTGTGCTAATACTGAGTTGGTGTGTAGCAGCTGTGATACATTCCATGCACAGGACATCATGAGGTTTCTCATGAGTTGTCATTGTCCTCGTTGTAGGCAGCATCACATGGAAGTGAGTGTTTTTATTGTCCATTAGGACCAAGTAGTTAAGATGTATGCATTATTTTTAGGTTTTTTCTAAGTTCAAAACTGGATATAGAAACATATTTGTGTAGTAAAGCGTATAGCATACATAGTAAAGTGGTTTTGGGGTTTTTTTGTTCTTTAGCATGTTCAGTTATATGTGAGCTTTTAAAAGTAAATCTTTAAGGGAATCATTAAGCAGCTTTCCAGACAGAAACACATATGTCAGTAAAAGAGAATGACAATGTTTTCAACAATGTAGGAATTCTAATTTTTACAATTCTCTAACTTGGCCAACTATATATTCCAAGAATATGCCTTTTTTTATATTGTTCCAGCCAACTTAAAATAATTTATGTTTTGAATTCAGGCAGCCTTTTCTAGGCAGAGATGCAAAAAAGCAACAGCTGGATGCTCCTTTAAGCCTAGTTTTCTTTAAAAGTAAGTAAGTGCAGGCTTACATACACAAATATGTATAATAAAATATTTCTTACAAGTATAAGTGTGTGTATATATGTATGTATGTATGTATTCACCAACTACAAAGAGGGAAGAGCTGGCAGAATCAATTCTAAATATGCCAACACAATGTCGTGAGTAATCTTGTGGTTGGACTCATCTGGAGTATGGGAGACTTAATTTCTGGTTTCTAGTCTGAATTGGGAATGGGTTGCTTGTCAGTGACACACTGCAATGTACTTTTGCAAGTGATTATTCGCTGCTTTGGCTTAGGGTCCTCTCAGTTTCTTCCGCTGAAACTGTTCATGCTGTAGGATTAAATATTCCCTAGTATTGGTATCTGCTGCTTATCAAATAAGTGCCTTAACCATTGAGTATAGGTGATCTCTTTCTATAGCACCATTAATATTTATCATTCAGATGAAGTGGAACACCACCTGCAGAGAATGGGACATTGAGAGGCCTGTGGTCTGTCTATCTGGCCATAAATTTCATGCCTGTAGAAAGTGACATGTTGCCACAAGAATTCTTGGTTTCTGCCTACTTGTGTTTTCTGACCAAATGTATCAATGAAATGTTTAGTTGATACAAATTCCAGACCAGGTTCTGAGAGCCTGGTTGATGGCAGTCAAGGTTTGATGTTGAAAAACTTAAGGGCAAGAGGTTACAATTAGCAGCCTTCTGAGCTTTTCAGTTGCACATGAGATTTTTGCAGCTGAAGCTTTCCACTGCTCTTTGGTGATGAAAGCTTGAATGGCTCCAGTTATATTGGTGACCTTCCAAGTCATACAGGCTTGGGAAAGCTTTATGTGCTGACGCAGCAGAAGGCTCAGTCATCTCCATCAGGAAGCCAAAATAAGCAAAGCAAAATGCCCTTATTTGCACAAGGCAGTTCTGTTTGCACGTTTACATTAAGACCCATAGGCTGCTTCCCCTCCCTTCTTTTTTTTTTTTTAATGGGAAGAAGCAAAGAGATCCTGTTATCACCAAAGAGACAAGGAATCAGGTCTGTACTAGTAATGGCTGTCTGCTAAGCCATTAGCAGGCGTGGTGTAAGCAGGTTGCTATCCTGTTCCTGAGTCCTGGTGCTGGTTTCTGGCATGGAAGAGGAAGGCAGTGTTAGCTGTTAGCTTGGTGATTTTCCTGGCTGCTGGGAACATGTCTGTCAGAGCTGGGCATAGGCACATAAAGAGAACTCTCTGAAAGCGTTCCCAAGTCTTGTGGTATCTTGTCATCATTTTTTCCCCAAATTAGGACTCCAGGGACATGCTGTCAGAAATCTTTACAATAGGGAATGATTTCTAAACTAGCCCCTCTGTGTGTTTTGAACGGTGACTAGCGAGCCTGATGGCAAACTGCTCATCTGGACATGCCTTCATAAATTTCCGGTCTCTCTGGACTGTCATATGCCTCTTTCGAGGATTATGCTGCCTCTCTTCCAGCTTTGGGTACAGTCAAATGAACTGTTGAAGGTAGTGCCATGCTACCCCTGCTGGTGTAGCTGTCCATCTCCTCACTAAGCCAGTTCTGTTAAATCATCAGAGATGTTTTAGTGGCTAGGTTTTTATTGACGTGGAAGACTTTGCAGAGCCAGTTTGTAAGCTGGTAAAGCAAGCACTGACAATAGCATTACTGAGAGACAGTGACTGCCCTCCATCGCTGCAGGAGCAGCGAACACCTGGAGATGTGCACAGGAATGGTAATCTATTTATTTGGATCATCAGCTGCATAGCTTATCTAATTGTGCTCTCAACCAAATAAAATAATTTCTAGAAGGTGTGCTGCCTACTTAGAAAGAGCGTATGTAGACTAACGAGTTTAATGTTTATATTGCACTCTGAATATGTGAAGCAGGGTACAAGAACGATTTGCAGTTTATGCAGTGATTTCCCCATTACAGTGCTGTAGTGAAATACTGGAGGTATAAACCTTACCACAGCAGGTCCTTAGAATTTTATCTTTTAACATTTTTGGTTGTACTTAAAAGATGTGAGAGTTTTTTTGATGTGGTGTATTTTTTTCTTCTTGCTAAATAGAGCCTTTTGAGACTTGGCCAAGGAGAGGAGATCTAATTAAATTCATGTAATGATTCTGGGAGTCACTGAGGCTTGCAGTACTCCCACACATTTATCACCACACTGTTATGAGAGACAAATCATTTTAGCGTTTGAGATGAAGTGAAGATTACTTTATGTGTGTCTGATGCACACAAGCCCTCAGATGATTGAGCTGCGTAACCCTTGCTGTAGGTGACCTTTCCTGATGAAGAGGTCTTTCTGCAATAAATCTTCTCAATCAAATGGCAGTTCTTGTGCTCACTCATGTACTCATAAAAATATGGACATGCCTACTCAGAGCACTATCTGGCACCTGTGCCCGTGCTGAGGAAGGAGAAGTGCAGAGCATGCATGGCGGTTTTGTAGAGCAGTGCACCCAGAATAATAAACCCTGTTTTCACAGCTTTATTCATGAAGTCAAACATGGCTATGCCATTCCACTGTTTAAAAGAAAGCTGCCTGCGTCATTCTGCAGTTCGTGGTCATCTCCTATAGACATACTGAGATGGGTTTCTTCTCATTCAGAGATCTGCAGTTCAATTTGGTGTGTGGTATACATGAAATCCTTTCACTGCAGAGTGGCTGTGTGCAGTTCTGCAATGTATGTTATTCGGGAAGTCATGTATGGTAGCGGCAGTCCCGTCTAGCTTAAAAATCTGCAGCTATTTGGAAGTGCTGAGTCTTAGAGTGGGTGACAAATCTTCTGAGGACAGGAGGCTTCCAAAAATGCCTTAAATCCAGTGCTGACATGTAGCACTTCAGTGCATCTATTTTGATGGTAGCTGACACTGGGTTGTTCAGCGGCATCTAAAAGTAAATGTAGTAGAATATAAAGGTATTTGAATTGTTTGTAACCATTAGGATTTTGCCAGAGGTTTTTCGTCTCTTTAGCTGATTCATAGAGTACAGGTGCCTTCCGTGATGGTAACAAGTGGAGCACAGCAAGTAACCTCAGCAGCTGAGCCTGCATCTAGAGACTGTCTAGCCCAACCTCCCAGAGAAGTGCCTTCCAACCAGCAGAGCCATAATTTTGTATTAGCACATGCAAGTGCATACACCTTGAAGGCAACCAGAAGATGTAAGCCCAGTTCAATTTTGTTATGAACAAGCCCCACCAGTTTCTGCTGAATTAGCTGAAAGTGCTGCTCACTCCATCTGGTGCCGAATTTGGCTCTTTGGGGAATTGGGCAGGGAGCAGCACAATAATTGTCTCTTCTCTTCTTTTCTGTCTCACTCCCCATTACTGCCATCAACAGTTAGTAAAAAACCTCAGTGCAACTAATTGTTGCAAATGGGTTGCCTTAACAAAGACAAAATATGTTGTCACAGATTTGGGGCCAGATTATGTTCCTTGCTACCCTGAGGAAACCTCCAGGATGTGTCAGGAGCCAGAAAAGGTGTGACCAAGAGGCGTCTTGAGTTCTTGCAAGTTCTGTTGGCTGAATAACCACTGAAGTTCACTGGTTCAACAGAGAGCAGTTTTTACACTGTTTTTTTGATTGCATCTGTGGGGAAAAATGAGTTATTTTTGCCCAAACTGGGAGGAGTAGAAAATGTAGTTTCAGCTAGGCAACTCTGTTTATTGACATATCGAAGAGGCGTATGTACAACTATTCTTCCTTTTTTTTTTTTTTTTTAATGTAGTGGGGCTACATCCATTGTCTACAGATGCAGGCAGAAAGGGACCCAGAAACCTTACGCCATCAAAATGTTGAAGAAGACAGTAAGTCGTTTTGTTTTGTTTTGCTTTGCTTTGGGATATGTTTGGGATTTTCTCGGTGCAGTTTCTTTGTGGGGGGGAAATGGGCTAGATTAAGGACGCCACTAAGCTTGTATTTTCTGTGACTGAGCTTCTTCCGCTCCTCATCATTAAAACAGCTTTTAGGGGTAACAGTACTCTGTTGGGAATGCCTTATCCCCACAAATCTTGCTTGTACCTTCATCTGGTGTTGTCTGTATAGACTTAGGTTTGGGCAAAACTTTTTAGACAACAGTATCTTTTTCTTTCACTATGGAAAAGAAACAGGTTCTGAATCGTTTAAATGTTCTATGATTTCATTTTGCTTTAATATATTGTTTTGCTCAAAAAATATCATTACATGATTTATCTTTTTCAGAAGCTGATTAAAACACCAATTCAAACTAAAGTAAAATTAAATATTTCATGCAGGTTTTTTTCCCCTACAAAATTGCAAGAGAACCAGTTGAGACATCACTTATTTTTAGAGCTCCATATATGTCACACTTCTACCACAGCTATTTTTGTGTGTGTTACAAAATAGACGGTGGAAAGCATGAAGAGAGACTAGAGAGGAAAGGCTAGTAATGGATTGAGAGACTTCAAGCAGAAAGAGAGTGTGGGGGATAGGGTAGAGCAGTTCATGTTCCTAAGAGGGGGAGAGAAATTTGAGAGGAAGCAAGCAAGCTGTGAGGCATGGACATGATTTTTATTCATGAGTGGTTTTGATTCAGTTTATTCCAGTTTTGAATCACATTATTCCATAAAGTTCAGGAATGTTCACATGTAGCAACGTAATGATGGGTGGGTGGGTAGGCGTAAACATGTCTAAGTGGTGAATTAACTGGTGGTCTCTGTGCAAGACATAATAAGTGGGTTCCACATGAGTAAAATGTTGACATTAATTTGTCATCTTTGAAAGTAAGCCGAGGTTTAAACTGGCACAGAAATTCAGTTGTGTGTGCTGCTTTTGAATTTGCATCTGGTGCATTGGAGGAAGCAGAGCATGTGAGGAGCTTGCATTTCTGCAGCCTACACTCGGTCTTTCCTATGGAAATGCAGAGAACTTAATTTTTAAGTTTTTATCAGTTCTTTATGCCAGCGATTCCCATAATGTTTTAGGAGTATACTTTTTTATAATTCTCATTCTGAAGTGCACTAGGAAGAATGATATTACTTAAAAATATTTCTTTGCCTTTTTTTTGGCCTTTGTGGAGATTAATTCATATTCGCAATGGTCACATTAATACTAGATCCATATATTTGTGTCCGAAACTATTTAATTTAGACTTTTGGTGGACTTATTGTGCACAGATTTTTTTCAAAAGTATAGGAAGAATGGCAAGCAAGAAGAATATAAGAATATGGTTATGTAAATTGTTTGCACAGCAGCAATAGTTTGGCTTAATGCAGCCTTGATTATATTAGCAGTGTGGTTAAGCAGTTCTTGCAACCGAGTTGTTCCCAGTGTAATGGATACACTTTGGGACGTTTTGTTATGAGAACAAGTGATTCTATTACATAACGGAGCTTATTTGTATAATTGAGAACATGGGAGGCGATACTGTAAGGAGGTGCCACTGCTTGTGTCTGTGTGCCATGAGCTACTGTAACTCCGTTCCAATTTGGAGTCGTAATTATTACCACAGAGACAGAACTAACTGTGTGTTACAGTGCTCCCACAGCAGGAGGCCTGATCTTTGCTCAGAGTATCTCAGTGTAAAAATAACCAAACGTGGGCCAAATCATATACCAAAATGTTGATCGGCTTAAGTTTCCTGTTGGCTTTTTTTAAACAGTTAGAAAAAACAGATGGCAGTTCAATAGTGGAGGAAAAGTGATGGGAGAAAAAGAGGAAGAGCCTGTGACTGCTTTTGATGCAGAGTCCCATTTCTTCAGTTCCCTTTCTTAAATGCACATAAGGGAGCTCTGAAGAGCACAAGAAATTAGAAGACAACAAAAGAAGGCGGCAAAAGAGCAAATACTCTGATTTTTCCATTCAAACCGACTGACTTTAAACACTGCACCGTACAAGACTAACTCGCTGAGGAAGAGTGTCTGTAAAAATAGGGTGAGGGCCAGGGAGAGGGTGGTCAGCTTGTTCTGGAAGTGGTAGCAAGTGATGTGTGATTAGGAGTCTGGTGGCTGACTGACAGCTCCAGATTTGTAAATGCTGATCACTAGAGTACCGTAATTTGAAGTAAAGCATTAGAAATTATTACTTTTGTCCCGTGGGAACAGCTCAGATAAGAAACAAATGATCCTTTTGGATTGACATAGTGTGCTAGGAACAGACTGCAAGAAACATAAAATGCCTATTAGTGTTCTTTTCATTTAAATAATAAGATTAATTTTTCATTTTGCCTGACATTTTTGCATTCTCATTTAAGAGCAAGTAAAATTCTGGGCAAGACATATCAGCCAATTCCAAGAATACACACTTGTGAAGAGATGTGAGTTCTTAGGAGATTCTGTAATTAGTATTTCTTCACCATCTAGCTTAATAATATAGTATTCTTAGATTATTTGCTCATTTCTGTTTGTTTTTTTTCTGACTGTTAGTTAAGCCAACAAAGAGAAACAGGAGAAAACATGTTTATGCAAACCTTTTATTGTCAATAAAATAATATTTTGGGAATATTTTATTTCAATTTAGAGGTTCAATCATTCTTAACCATTAATTAAAATTTTATATACAGTTCCAAAAGGAGGAGAAAAATGCTTTTTTGCTGGTTCAAAACTACTGAAACAGAATGCTTCAGTTTGCTGTTTTGTTTTGGTTTTGTCAAATTCAGCCCAAGTTTAGTAGTAGTTTTGGATCCTTTAAGTTACACTTTTGGTGAATAAAATTCAGTTCAAAGAACACTTCTGGTTCTTACTCCTGAAGTGTCTGACTGTCAAAGTTAGGAAACTGACAGGCAAATTAGGACCTTAACTTCCAGAGCAGCTAAAAGACAACTGTTAAAAGGGCTAAAGAGGTCCAAAGAAAAACTGATGTATGTATTAGTGCGAAAAAAGCTCTCAGATAATGTATAAGAAATTAAATTTGGAATTGTTGTTAACAGATACAAAAAGAAATATGTTTATAAAACAACATCTATGGGCAGGTGAATAAGCATGCTAAATTATCGCCTTTGATTTGCTCATCCAATTTCTTAAATTCCACACAGGTAATAAATATAAAGGTTTGAATCATGTATTTTCTTTGTGGGGAAATCCATTTCATGAAGCAAGAAAGAAGCAAAAGCAGAGCATACGACACTTCAGAAAAACTCATCAAATGAGCAAAGTACAGTGATGAACTTTTACACTTGCAATTGCAAATATGAGGTTGGTTTGCTTTTCACCACGCAGTTTACCTCTGCTTGATGACTCAGTGCTTAAGAAAAATGAAGTCTCTTTAGGATACACTTTACAAATATGATTGTTACTACTCTAAGCCGAGATTTAAAAATTATGTGAGATTTACAACCAGTCATTCTGGAGCAGTTGTTGTTGCAAACAACATATAGCACATGGATCATATTGGAAGAGCACAGGATTCTTGAAGGAAGCAAACATATTTATTATGTGCTATTTATGAAATGAAACCTCTCATCTGCAGACCTTTGCCTCCTTTTGGTGTGTTTTGAGAAAGCTAGGCAGCATATGAACCAGGGCCAGCCTGGAGATTGTCTCATAGTCTGGGCAGGTGAATGCCTTCCAAGAAATTAGATCCACTTCTGCCTAAATTTTCTACCTGAGTTGCTTTAAAAATAATGAAAAGAACAGATGGCCTTTGTTCCGTGGTTTCAAAATTAAGACACCGAGTGCCTGCCTACATTATAGGTCTACCAAGTACTAACAACTGTAACTGAAGTAATTTGGGAGCTGCCATTGCCATAAAGCAACTCACTCTGCAGAAAGGAGAACGGGATGCTGAGCTGGATTGTCTGGAGCCTGGGTCTTGGTGTATTCCCAATTCAGCCTGTGCCATTGGCTGAGGTATTTATTTTGGTTTCAACTTTCTCATCCATAAAGTTGAGATAATACTTACTTGATTTGCTTCTCAGCAATGCTTTAAAGGATAGCCTGGTTAATATTCCTACGTTTTAATTGATAAGTACTGTCCCCTAAGAACGATTAAGTATTACGAAATATTAGGCCCTCAGTCAAAGAGGCATGCAAGAACAGAGACTATTTTGGAGAACTCTCATTTTTATTTCTTTTTTTTTCATGTGTGGGCATCCTCCCTCACAGGGTTTGTGATGTTTAGCTAATACTTCCTCAGTACTTTGATTAAAATCAGTATTTATGAAGGAGCATTCTTCTTGCAGACTGGTTGATGTTCAAAATCAGACAAACGTTCAGGCACATGAACTTATTGGATCTGAAACAGAGCAACAGTTTTCAAGGAACACATATGCTGGAAATAGTTGTGCTGGGGTTAATCTAATTGTACTGATCAGTTAGACAGTTTGAGAACAACAAATAGTTTATGTCTGTGGAGCAGAGAGGAGTGTGAGCAAATGTAAAGGTAACAGGCTTCCCTCCTGGATAAGTGGGGGTGGATATCTAGAGTTAGGGTCTGAAAGAGATTATAATGGTCTATGAAGGCGTATATAAAAAGCCTCAATTGCGTTCATGTTTGCATATATATACATACATATAGGTATATAGATACACATACATATTACATACGCATATATACAAACGTATATACACACACACTGTAACATATACATATATATATTATAAACTATATACATTTCCAACTATACAGGGAGTATAGTTGGCTGGGTTTTTCATTTTGTGTTGCAGTGAATTGGTGGTATTAAGTGGTAATCAAGAGGCTCATGCAAATGTTTGGTCTGTTTTCTTGGAGGAGTACTGCTTTTGGTTGAGCCTTCCCAACTGATTGAGAAGGCAAGCGCCACGGGAGGGTGTGGGGACTGTGTATCACACTTGGAGATAGTCAGAATTAGTAAATCGGTCTTTTATTGACT